GGGCCCCAGCCTGGAGATAAGACCAGCCCGGACAGGGGCTCTGGATCTCAGCTTTCAGCCCTGATGTGTCCTGAGACAGGAAAGCGGGAGTGGCATCCAGCCTGCAGCTGTTCCTACAGAGACTGGCCCAGGAGACCCCAGTGGGCAGCTGTGTGAGTGTGGGACCCAGGTACCCACAAGAGTGCCAGAATGCCAAGGAGACTCTGGGCCTGAACGTGGGTCCTCCTGCCTCAGGCCCGTGCAGAGGAGACAGGGGAACAACAGGGCCTCCATCATCACCCCATGCTCACGCACACGTGGACACCTGCACACTGTACCTATGGGACTGCACATGCACATGCTGGCCCAGGGCACCTGTATACAGCAGACACAAGGCACGCATGCACATACAACGTGTGTGCACACAGGCACATGCTGAGAAGCTCATGTGTGCAATTACTGGTAACTGGATAGGTGGGCTTTGAGGCGACCTGGACCGGCATCCCCAGATGCCGCAGGATGACCAACGCTGCTGGCCTGCACAGGAGCTATGCAGGGGGTGGAAGCCCCTTTGGTCCCAGTGGGACCTCACTGGGTTGCCATGCTGGGCACTTGTCCATCTGGTGTGGGGACGCAGAGGCCCCAAGCAAGCACAGAGCAGCACCCTAGCCCACGCACTTACAGCCTCTCCATGCAACCTCACCTAAAGCCACTCAGCTCTAAGTCTACCTAGGGCACCCCCAGCCTCTGACCCTGCCCTGTGCTGGATTCTGTACCATCTGCACACCCAGCTGAGGGCGTGGGCTGCCCCAGGACTTCTTGCTTCCCTGGAGGCCAACAAGGGCTGACTTGGGCAGAGGTGGGATCTTCCCAGCCTCTGAGCCTCTGCCGGGCCGGGCTGCAGCGGCCCAGGCCTGCCCGGTGGGCGAGGGCTGCTGGCTGGTGCTCCTCTCATTTCCTCTTGGCCTGCAGGCCTGGCTGCCTTGGGAACAAAGGGTGGATTGTGCCTCCTCTGGGGCCTGCTCTCCAGCTGGGCCTGGGATGCTCCTGGACTGGCCGCTACCCCTGCCGGGCCTGTGGGCAACGGCTGTACTTCCAGCCAAGCAGGGCTCCCTTGGCCCACTCTCCTAGGCTCCAAAGTCGGCAGCACCAGCCCAAGGCTCCTCCCAGGCGCCTCTGAAGCCGGGAGCCACAGCCAGGCCGCCTGGCTCTCCCTGCCCAGTGCCCGGCCGGGTGTGGTTCACAGACGCCTGTCCATTCCCCACCAGCGCAGGTCCCACTGTATTCTGTGCCCCCACCACTGCCCATTCACTCTGCTGCCCACCTGCGGGATGCCTGGGCATTTGAGGTCCCCGTGCTCAGTGTTGGCTTTGGGGAGGCAAGGGGAGCCAGAGAGACATGAGCACGGCCACATCCGGTGCACACTCCAGCGCCATAGTCCATCTGCCGAGTAGTTAGGGCAAACACAGTTCCAGCGGTCCAGGCCATGAGGGGCAGACAGCCAATGGCAAACAGCACCCCTCTACCTGGCTATAGACCCCGAGCAGTTGCCTGTTTCTCAGGGGCCCCTCACTGGGACGTGCTGACTCTGATGCCAGCGGGGCAGGTGCTGACTTCACAGCCAGAAGCACATAGCCCAAGAACCCGTGCAGCAGCCCCCGGCCCCCGCTGACCCAGCCCCACCAGGCTGAGAGGACACCTGAGCGCCCAGGGCCAGGCCTAGCCTTGCCCGACAGCCCTCGCTGGCTGTGGCTGCAGCTCCCACCACCACCATCAAGGGAGCTTTGTGGAGCAGTGGGCTGGGGCAATGGTCTTGGAGGGGCTCCAGGAAGGAGCTTCAGAGGATGCATTTGGAAAGAGGAAAAAAAAAAAAATAGAGCTGTGCACAGAGAAGGAATTCACCTCTCTGCAGCCTGGTGCCACCGACCACCCCCTCTCAGCCTGGGCTCCTGTCACATAAGACCCTGTGTGAGCACCCCGGGGGGAGCTGCTCCAGGCACAAGCCAAGCAGAGCAGGAGGGGGTCCAGGCCAGGTGGACAGGGCTCCCCATGCCCCTGCAATGTCAGAGGGGTGGCAGGACCTGTGATGGGGGGGTCGCTGCCCACCCAGATGATGGGCCCTGAGACATGGGTACCTATTAATTGTGGACTCAGGACGGTGGGTCCCACCTGCCCAGCATGTCTGTCCCTTTGTCACCAGGGTGGCCCAAGTTCCTGAAGGTACAGCCCAGTCTGTGCCCAAGCTGCAGGTCTGAGGGTCTTGGTGAGGAGCTGAAGACGCCTGAGGTGGCTCTGTGGGGACAGTGGGGCAGGAGTGCATGGGGTAAGAGGGCCAGGGGTCATCAGTCCCCAAGGGGACAGCCCTGTGGCCAGCCACACGGGCTCTACCACCTCCCCACCTGTCTGGCCCAGGAGTTCAAGGCTTTCCAGGAAGGCCACAAAGAGGCACTGTGGGAGGACTGGACCCCAGCTCTGCCAGCCCCCCGTGTGTCTGCCCTCTGTGGCCACACTGGCTTCTCCCATGGTCACCTGGACTCGACAGACCGGGTCCCTGCCGGGGCCAAGCCTGGCACACTCCCAATGCCTGGGGCAAAGGCAGCACCCAGGGCACAGGAGTCAACTGTCCTGGAGCTCACTTGTCCTGAGGACAGTGGCCAGGGCTGAGAGCACCAGCTCCAGGGGACTGCCCAGCCAGGCCCACCCAGCTGCCCCCTCCCCGCCCTTCCAGGGCTGCTGCAGATCCAAGGCAGGGAAGGGCAGGGAAGCAGCCGGTGTCACCTTGCTCCTGAGCACCCCCATTCCTCCCACTGTGCACCAATGCAGGGCGGGCAGCAAGCCCAGCTTGTCACCCACCACGCTGAAGAGACTGGGGCTCCTGTTCTTGTCCAGTGACCTTGGAGAGCCTGGGATTCTGCTGGGCAGCACCCCCAGCAGGGTTGTACACAGCTGGTACAGAGCTGGCCGGGAAACTCTCTCCCCTTGCCTCAGCTGTGAGCATCAAGGAAGCTCCTGTCTCTGGGGCATCAGGCTGCAGGCACCCGACCAGGGCAGCAATGGCCCCTCTGCCTGGCCCCTGCACCCCAGCACTGCTGGAGGCAATGGTCAACACCCTTCTGTGGCTGTGGCTTCGGCCAGATCCTAGGAGTCGGCACTGGTATCTCACCTCCTGTCCAGCCACTGCCGCATCCCTGTCCACTGCATGCAGGGACAAGGAGGCCTCAGACGCCACCCTGATGGCCACCCTCTCCCTCTGCACCGCCTCTGCCAGTGCCGCACCTTGGGTCTGGCAAGGTCACCCCAGTCACCTTATGTGTCCACCCAATCCCACCATAGGCCCTTCCTGGTACTGGACCCCATGTCCTGCAGCCAAGCTCCTGTGGGTGTCCCTGCCCCTGGGTTGAGTCTCTGTCCTAGGCCTAGGGCACGACTGACCTCCAGCCAGGCCCTCTGACCTGCAGGCCGGGTAGGGCTGTCCGTCTCCTCCCCTTGCTGTCCTCCCCCACTCCCGCCCTTCTGAGACAGCTGCGGGCTGGCTCGGGACACCCTTTGAAGCCAGAAGGCAGGGGAGCAGTCACACCCGAGGGTGTCAGAGCCCAGCTGCCCTTTCAAGTTCCCTGGCCCTCACAAGTGACCGGCTTATCACTGCCGGGATGCTGGGGGGCGGGACAGACTGGCACTGTGCCCAGCCTCACCCAATACCCCATGAAGATCCTCACCCGGATGTGTCCCCTCTTGAGCGGCCATCAGAAGCCCCCAGGGTCACTCTGAGGTCACCTCCTGGTCCTAGCTGGGAGCCTGGGGACACAGGCATGTGTTCTCTGTCCCTGAGGCCTAGTGGCTGCTGACCTTCCTGGGAGGCCCAAGGGCTCTGGGGCCTGGGCTTGTCCATGTGGAGGGTGGTGGAGTGGGGCCCTCTCCTGCCACCCCCTCATCCTACTAGGACTGCCCCTGGTGCACACCTGGCCCCTGGTGTACCCAGTGAGGCCCGACAAGAGTGTTTTGGTCCCACAGGTCCTGCTGCCTAGCCTGGCACCCAACACAGGCACAGTGTGTGCTCAGAAGCTGGCCCACCAACCCAGAGAACTCCTGGGACCCCTGGAAGGGCCCAGCCTGGTCTCAGAACCCAAACCCAGGGCTCTGCCACCCTCCTGCCCAGCCCAGGCAGGAACAAGGGCACTCATGTCATCAAGGGTGGCTCTGGCCTTGGGCCAGAAGGGCCTCCTGGGAAAGCAGCTCAGATCCTGTACCCACAAGGCCTTGGGGGCTCCTGGGGCCCAACCACTCCAGCCCCCCACATTCCACTTTCCCCACTCACGCCTGACTGAAACCCAACCAGGCCTCAACAGCCCATTCTGTCCAGGGAACATCTGTTGTCCCAGCTGTGGGCTGCCTGGACCCCTGTGTTGCCCGTGGTCACTCCCCAGGGCTAGCCAGCCAGCCGGAAACAACCCCATCACCTAGAGGCAGCACCAGGCTGCACGACTGCCCAGGCCAGGCCCTGAGTCCCTGGAGCAGAGTCCTATGCTGTGTAGACACCCTACCTGGGGAGACCAACTCCCACCTTCTGAGCCCTGCTTTTCGTGAGGCACCATGCAGGCTGCTGCCACCATGAGACAGCCAAAGACCCTACACACCAGTGAGAACATGACCCAACTCCCTGCCAACAGTGGGGACCACTGTTCACCATCACAGGGATAGCCAGGTAGAAACCTGGATAGAGCCCCAAGGACAGAGGTGGCCACAACCCAGCCCCATTCAGCTGTAAGAGGCCACAGTAACCAAAACCACACAAGGTGGGCCGAGAGAGCAGAACCCTAACCCACAGGCAGCTTGGTCAGCCAGCCCAGCCACCCCAGGGAGCCTGTCCTCCTGGGACACCAGGCCTCAGGCCCCAAGACTCACACACATGTACTTATGCACGGCACACCCACATACATCTGCACACAACCACAACACCACAAGCACACACGTGTGCCCATGGCAGGCACAACACGGACCAGACCGTCAGAAACTGTGTCGAGGAAAAAGATGCACTTTCTTGTTAACAAAATAAATTAAATATACGAGGCTTCAGCTCAAACTCTATAAAATCACAGAGATCAGGGCCACAGGGGGCAGGGGCGGCAGTGGGGTTGGCCACCGGATGTGGACATCAGCATGACTGCCCTCGGATGGCCAGCCCCTGGGACCCCAGCCCTCCCCCATCATTACCAATATTATCTCCATTCTTAAATATAAATATCAAGGCCCCTCTCTGTGGGGGTGGGGAGGCAGGGGGTGGGTCTTCACCTCCCCACCCGTGTGGCTGGGGACCCTGGACACCCAGGCGGTTGGGCAGGACACAGGCAGCAGTTGGGGAGAGTCCTTCATCCACTCACGTGACTATGTCACGGCAAAGTCAAACAGCCCAAGCCTTGCCCAGGGTGTCTCAGTCCATGTGCATGTGTAATGTGCAGTGTGCGTGTGTGTGTGTGTGTGTGTGTGTGTGTGTGCACGTGTGTGTGCGTGTGTGTCTGAGTCCATGTCTAGTGGTCTGTGTGTCCACCTGGCAGTGTGTCTGTGTACCTGGCCTAATCTGTGTGATCTGCCGCCTCCCCACCCATCTGCCCGCTGGCCTATCCCGCGCCCACTTTGTCTAGCACTGGTAGTGGACGTGCTGGTGCTGGTGCACCTTGCCCTCCACATGGGAGTGCGTGTGTGAGTGTGTGTGTGTGTGCACATCCGTGTACAGTTTGGGGTAGAGCTTGGGGCCGGCCACTGCACCCGAGCCCAGTGCATGCTCCTCACACAGCCCCACAGCCAGCACAGGCAAGTCCTTGTCGCCGCTGCGGTCCCGGGATGGGGCTGGTGGGCGGTGGCTGGGCACAGGCAGCGCGGCCACAGGGGCGCAGGGCTTCTTCTTGGCCTGGCAGAGCCACAGCAGCACGGTACCCAGGATGAAGACGGCGCCAGCCGGGATGCCAATGACCACAGGCCAAGGCAGGCTGGTGGTGGAGGACGAGGGGGCCACGGGGGGCCCCGGCGGTTTGGGGTCTGGAAGAGAGACCAAGGGGATGGGGTGGAGAGGGAACTCCGCCGCAGGCAGGGACGAGCCCTCATCTGGATGGCACAATAGCACCCAGGCCACCAGGGGCCACACACGGGCCCCCAGAGGAGCCCGACGACGCACCTGGCAGCACAGTGAGGAAGGCACCGCGGAAGCTGTAGCCCATGGTGTTGGCGCCCAGGCAGATGTACATGCCCGCGTCGTCCTGGCGGGCACGCGAGATGAGCAGCTTGTTGAGGTAGGAGCCATCGGGCCGTGACCACACGTCACCCGTGGGCAGCACCACGAACTTCTGGCCGCCCACGTCGATGGTGGAGTTGTGGCGGCCCTCAGCACCATACTCCACGCGCTTCAGCCACTGGATCACGGGCTTCACGTCACTGCGCACCTTGCACTGGAAGGACGTCGTGCCCCCGAAGTCCACCGTCGTGTTCACCGGATGTGTGCCGGTGAGCACGGGCTTCGAGCGCGTCCGCTCTGCAACGGGGACGCACGTGTCGCCGGCGGCACCCAGCCCAGGGCCCAGTCCCGCCGCCCGCCCTGCCCTGTCACTCACGGATCACGTCCACTTTGTAGGTGGCGTTGATGGCGCCTGCCCGGTTTGACACGCGGCACGTGTATTTGCCGCTGTCCTCGGGCTGCAGGTTCTTCAGGCTCAGGGTCCACTTCTTCCTATGCTCAGCAGCCTCTGGGCGAGTCAGGGCTTGGTCGTCCTTCATCCACGTGATGTCGGGCCGCGGGTGCCCACTGGCCACACACTTGAGCCGCACAGAGCTGCCCACAGGCCGGGCGATCACCCGGCGCCGCATCTTGGACGGCTGCGTGAAGCGGGGTCGCGCTGCGGGGACGGGGTCGCTGAGTCAGCCAAGAGAGTGTGGTGCCAGGAGATGGCAGCCATCCTGGCCGGGGAGGGGGACCCCCACCCTACGCTCACCCCACTGCTGGCCAGCTGGGTCCTCCTTGTCTCCCAAGGAACCACCGGGCCCTGGGCTCTGTTTCCCAGGGCTGAGGTCATCTGCAGGGAGAGGGGAGCCATGGTGAGGGAGCCCACGGAAAGGGGTCCCCAGGCCCTCACCAGACCCCCACGTGGCCCCGGCTAGGGTAACCCTGGAACTGCAGCATGGCCAGCAACACTCCCATAGCTGAGTCCAGGGACAGCTGGGCAAGAGCCGCCCGCCAGCCCCATCCCCAAGTGCAGGTGACCCCAACAGTCATGGATGAGACTGCAGGGCCAGCCCCCCGCCCAGGCTCCGGGGGTCTGAGGGGCGGAGGAGGGGGCTGGCGGCTGGCAGCTGCAGTAACCCTAGCCCACATCAAGGGGCCGAGGGCTCAGGAAGCAGACATGGCTCACATACCACCCAGTCACCGCCCCTCTGCAGGGACAGGGAGAGGGGGTGGGGGGGCGCAGCATTCCCGCTCCATGACCCAGGGGAGGCCGGGCTGGGGAGGACGTGGCGAGGAACATCCCCCACCTGTCCGGACAGTGCCACATCCACTGAATTGGGGCCAAGGGCCTGGCCCTCAAGCCAATGCCTCGGACCCTGAGGCTGAGCAGTCAGCCTGGGCCCCACACCAGGGAGGTGGGGGCAGGCATGCCTGGTACCACCGTGGGGAGGGCATGTCACCAGGGCCACCTGTCCCCTCCCAGGGCCACAGCCTATGGGTGGGAGAGAACAGAGGCCCCTCTGAACTGGAAACCTGAGCTCAACGGGCACACCCTGCCAAGCCCACAGCCGCCCACACGCTGGGGGGACCCCCACCCAGCCGCCACGCCTGGTCCTGCCCAGGAAGGGGCTGGCCGTCAGGAGGTCCCCACCCCCACCCCACACAACCTCTGACCGCACCCCACTGACCCATCACGATAAGGGTGTAGTTGACACTGAGACTGCCGAAGCCGTTGGTGGCCTTGCACACGTACACGCCCGCATCCTCCGCCTCCACTGCCTTCACCTTCAGCCCCTGCGGGAGCATGCCCGCATCCTCCGCCTCCACTGCCTTCCCCTTCAGCCCCTGCGGGAGCACACGGAAGCGGCTCCAGCCGCCGTGGATGGTGCGGCCGTCCTTGGTCCACATGGTCAGGGGCGGCGGGTCCCCCTCCACTGGGCACTGCAGCCGCACAGTGCGGCCCAGCCGAGCCACCTGTCTCGGGGCCACTTTGTCTGCCATCCTCGGGGGGCCTGCAGGTTGGAGGACTCAGGTGGGGAGGGAGGCCTGGGCTGTTCCTGTCCGGCCCCACACCTGCCCAGGGAGGTGGGGGTGGGGACACAGCCTGGCCCAACAGGCCCTGCACAGTGTGAATGAAGAAAAAGACCAGCAGGTGTGGAGACACACGCCTGTGATCTCAACACTTGGGAGGCTGAGGCAAGAAGGTCACCATGAATTTGAGGCCAACCTGTGCTACACGGTGAGACCCTGCCTCAAACACCAACCAGTCAAACTTAGTGACTTAGTGAGACTTTATCCCAAAATGAAAAATAAGGCTGGGGACATAGCTCAGTGCAAAGGTCCTGGGCTCAATCCTCAATATTGAAAAATAAAAAGAAAGAAAGAAAGAATATCCAGCCACATCAGAAGGGGCCATGAACCACCACGACAAGGAGGACAGGGCTCTCAGGGACAGGGATAGCAGGCAGGAGCTCCTGGCTTTCCCTCACCATGAGTATTCACAGATCCTGTCCCCATAGGGAGACCACCTTTCCTCCTCACACCCCCATGTTCCCTGTCACCCAGGACCCAACAAGCCCTGGCTGCAAGGATGGCAACCTCACAGTCATCGCACACAGATGACTGAGCAACAGGACAGCCACCCCTGGACAGCCTGTGGGCATTGAGGGTGCCCTAGTCAGACACCATCTGCCCAGGATGGCCAGCCCTCCAGGCAGCTGAACCCCATGGGGCCGTGACCCACAGCCCTGAGGTCAAAGGCAGCGTCTGGACAGGGTAGGGCTGGCATGGAGAGGTGGTCCTGCCCTGCATGCTCCAGGTGGCCTGACGGAGAGCCGAGGCCAGGGCATCCCGCACTCTGCAGAGAGATGCCTGGGTCCTCCCAGCCATTGGCCCCAACTGAGGTACCAATGGGAGGACAAAGGGACAGAGGTAACCAAGAGATCAGGCAGTGAGTACTATCACCGGCTGGGAAGAGGATTCAGAGACCCTCGGGTATCAACGATGCATGGGACCCTGGGCAGGAGGTGACCTGGGGCAGGGACCAAGGCAGGGTCACCCCACACACCCGCTACCAAGTGGGATGCATCCCAGGAACAGCACCCAGGCTGCTTCGCAAATGGTACTCAGCGACACCACTGCAACGGCGCCAAGGGCGTGCATGGTCCATAACCAGCTGTCAGCACCCTCAAACCTCAGCAGCAGCGTCCTCCTGACTTCAAAGCACCCAACTGACTGGGGACCCTGTGTAAACGAAGGAGTTGCCAGCCCAGGCAGGAGGTACCATGGCAGCACTGCTGAAGGAGCCAGGGTCCCTTCCTTCGATGACAGTAAGGGGTGAGGGTGGGGGCTGGGAGAGGGGCTCCTCCACTCCCTCGCCTGCTGCCCAGGGACTCGCCTTTCTGACCAACATCACCTTGTCTACTCACCAGCCCCGCTCCACCATGAGCTCCAGGCTGAGGTTCCCATAACAGCCTCCTCCCCAGACCCTTTCTCCCCCATGGTCCACCCAGACACCAGCAGCAGGGTAGTCCATGCAGTTGTCCCTGGCCCCAGCACCCACCTGGTACAGGCATGGAGTCCAAGCCCCCTCCCAAAGCCTCCGAGATCCCAGCCCCAACCCAGGCAGACCCTGCCCACCACCTGTCACTGTCTGAAATTCCACCACTCACAAGGCCTCCCAGGCTGCAGCACCAGGGAGTGGCCAACCCTGCCGTGGTCCCCATGGCCCCCAAGGCTCCCTCTCAGCCTGGTTCCCCAGGCCCCCCAGGCAGACCACTGTCCACCCCAGCCTGGGCAGGGGCAGGGCCCAGGATGGCAGCAGACAGCAGCAGGGACCCCTCTGCCTGTGGCCACTGCCGAGAAGAGGCAGAACCCGTGCCGCCAGATGGCCGGAAGCACGGCCCCAGCCTGCATGGTGCGGCAGAAAGGCTGGTGGAAGCCCATCCAGAGGAGCCAGGCTTATCCTAAAGCAAACAGTACCCTGCCAGCCCTCCCTCCGTACCCCAGCCCTTTGCAGAGCCCTGTATGTGGGCCCGCCCAGCAGGAAGCCGGCCCCCGATTCCCAGGGATCTTGGCTGCAGCCCGGCCACCACAGCTCTATATTTAGCCCAGGAAACACAAGCCCCCCCATTGTTCTACCTAGAGCCACAGAGCCCACTTGGCCAGCGAAGAAACTGAGGCAGTACCTGAGGCCCCACTGCCCTTGGAGGGAAGCTTGGCAGGGAAGTGGCAGCCACCTGGACCTCCCTCAGGTGATACTGTCAGTTGCCCTTCTCCTGCAAGCCCCTGAGAAGGCCCAGCACAGGCAGGATGCAGATGGCTGCCAGGTGGGCAGTAGCCGGGGTAAACTGAGGCTAGGCTGTGTTTTCACTGCTCCGACAGAGCCTCGGGGACAGCACCTTGGGGCTCTTTCCCTCTTCCTTTCCCACAGGGCCCCCCATAGGACCTGGCTCCAGCGCAGCACTGGGGATGCAGATGGCACAGTGGCCACCTCAAAGTCCACACCTCGAGGCCAAGTCCCAGGAAGCACGCAGGAGCCTCAATCCCACTTTCCAGAGCTGCTCTGCAGGCTCAAGAACTGACCTGTAGGTGCTGGGCCCAGCTAGTACCGGTCTCCAGGGCCACTGGGACAGGCCAGTCGTGTCCCCGCCTCTACAGAATTCATGGGGGCAAGTGACAGTGGCTCCCAGCAGGCACATCGGAAGGACAGGCCACCCTCTGCCCGATGACCAGACCAGGTGCAGACACACAGCAGTCCCAAGCCTGGGCACCGCGAGAGTGGGACTGTGCAACAAGCACCCAGCAGGCGCAGCCCAACTCAGTACGCACACGGACTGCAGGGGCCTGGAATTTCTGGCCTGGGAAGAATTCTCCAGCCAGGCAGTAGGCCTGGCAGTGGGTGGGGGCAGCCAGCCAGGAGCCACAGGCCTGCAGCTCCTCCTGGAGAAGACAGGGCCTAGGGACTCAAAGGGCCGTGGTGGGGAGGCAGGTGTGGCCAAGTCCTTAGACACCTGTGCCGGCCTTGGGGAGGCCAAGGAAAGCTGGCCCAAGAGGATTCCAAGGCACTGTCCAGCTGGGACAGCATGACTGGCTGACCATGTGCTGAGTCCTTTCCCAAGGCACCCCATAAGCCCTAGACATAGGCAGGAGGTACAAGACCCCAAGCTACACCCAGACGGAAGCTGCAGGAAGAGTCTCCGGAGACCAGGCCCTATGGAACCCACCTCCCCAGCAAGCCACAACTGGGGGAAGAAGGGCAGGGATGACCCCCAGGTGTCAGGAGTGCATGTGCTTCTTAGGCACACAGGCCTAGGGCTGCACAGGGTTACCAGCCAGACCTTGGGGACCTACTATGGAGCCAGGAGGTCTGAGGGACAGGTGGCTGCCACAGAAACCAAGGAGTACCCCCTAAAAGCTGGCTGAGAATACAGGCTCTGCCCTCGCCCAACAGCAGCCTCCAGGTGAGGGGCCAGGTGGAGGCTCCTGGGGACACACCCAGCTCTCCCTGGGGCAGACATAAGGCCCTTCTATGGACCTCGAACTCCCACAGCCTCTTCCTCGACACACCCAGGACACACACAGCTGGCCAATGTCACCAGACAGGGCCACCGCCCGGGGGGCGAGGGCACTTACATACCACCGCAGTGGATGGTGACCACCACAGCCTCCCAAGGCCACCAGAAGCCAAAGCCCCTGTGCCACGCCTCACAAGTACCAGCCTTAGAATTCTGGTCCCCTACCACATCCACCTAGAGGGCACGTCTCCTCCACAGGCCCTGGGCCAGGAGTCAGGCGTGTGCTGAGTGGCCACCCTTGCAGGGACGCTCACCCTCAGGCCTGGCCAGGAACCCCCTCTCAAGGACAGGCTTGTGGACCCCGAGGCTACATGTGCAGCTGCCCAGCCCTAAGGGCCCACATTTTGTACACACTGCAGCCCTGACCCACAGGTGGGCTGAGAGGCTCAGAGGCACCCTGCATAAGGAGCCCACATTCTCTGACAGCCCTGGGCAACACAGCTTCATCCCTGTCCTCTCCTGGAGGCCTATCACTTGCTCTGAGGTTCTGGACACATCATTTAAGTGTCTCAAGTGATCAACTCTCTAGATGGGAAGATGGAGTTGTACATCCTGCCATATGGGAAGCCCTTTGATGTCAACAGCTCCCAGGTGGTAGAGGCTGCGCCACAGGTACCTGCTGCCCTCGAGAGACCGCCTCTGCTGGGCCTACCTGGGCCAGCCCCCACCCACCACCCTGACCATGGACCCTGGAACTGCAGCCAGAGGCCTGACCAGAGCAGCAGTCACCTTACCAGGAAGAGTGGCTGGAAGCAGGGAGGGTGTCACTGAGCTCTGGGGACAGTGGCACACCTTTCCCTCCACCCACGTGGATGTCACCTGGACAAGACAGGCCAGAGCTCACCTGCAGCACGGAACATAGAAGAGACGGCCAGCATGGGCCAAGCACCAAGCCCGGCTGCACGGCGGGCAGGTGGCCAGCAGTGGGGTACCACAGCTCACAGCCCCCACCATCGTCAGCAAAGCCCACACCAGGGCCGGGCAGGCCTGAGGCTGGAGGCCTCCAAGGGGGAAAAACCAACATTTCCCCTAGCGAGGGCCATGGCGCAGGGCAGGCGGGCTGAAAGGCAACTTTGAGAGCCTGGAGCCCCATTGATTCCTGCACAAAGGATAAAGGAGCCTGCGGTCTCGTTTCCAGGCCCAGCCAAAGACGACTTTGTTCGAAGCTCCCCCTCCCCCAAGGGGACAGTGATTTATTTTCCTTGCAGGAGGGGGGCCCCAGACGTGAACAGGGAGGCTTGCTGGCATCCCCACCTCAAAATGCCTGGGCCCAGCTCCTGCATGAACACACGTCCAGGTGCACACTGGCCAGCCACTGCCCAGGAGAGATGGACACAGGGAGGCCGGGGCAGCACCACACACCAGCCCACCATCACCTCCCACAGCACTACAGCACTGTCTCGGCCTCCTGCCCATTACAGCACCCACAGCCAGGTGCCTAGGGCATATCATCTAGGGCACAGTACTGGGCAGGGTGCTGGGTCCAGGGGGCAGGGGAGGGACTGTGGGCTGGCTGCTCAGGCCATCGCTACAAGGCCCACTGGCGCACTATTCAGCCGCTTCAAAGCTTCAAAGCTGTCCGCTGAGAAAGGTATCTCACTGGGAGCTGTTTGAATTCCCACTGTGAGCAACAACAGGGGAAGCCAAGTCCTAACTTTTGAAAACAGTTTAGGACAAACCCACCAAGATTGTGAAACGTAGGGCAAAGGGGAACTCTTAAAATAAGATCTGGATTTATAGCGGTACCCATTCCAAAAACTGTGACAACTCAGGGAAATGTCTTTCAAAACAGCCCAAATGACGTTCAGCTCTTGGCCCAAAGAGGGTCTAGGAAGAGCCTGCTCACCGGAGGAGCACGAACTGCTTGGAATAGTCCTGCCCCTCTAGTCCAGGCCGGGCCTGGAAGAAGTCAGAACAACTCAGGAAACGCATTCCTGTACCTCCACTGTAAGCCATAAGGCCTCTGCTGTGGAAAGGGCTCCCTCTGCCCCCCAGCACAGAGCCCAGGTAGACAGGGCAGGGGCTGCTCCTCTAGGGCCCCTCGATGAAGAGCAGCCCATACCCGCCACACTGTCCACCAGTCACCTCCAGGCTGGCCAGGGACCAGCAGGCCTCCACTGCCTCCTGGCCAAGTGGCCAGAGAACAGGCAGGTGCAGAGATGGAGGAGTCCAAGCAGATAAAAGAGGAGTCAGAGCCAGGCCGCTGGCTGTAGTGGGGCTCACCCAGCGTGGCCTGAGCAACAGTGCCCAGAATGCTGCCCAGCCTGGCCACACTGGTCAGCCTTCACCCTCTAGCCAGCCAGGCCTGGGCGGGTGGCGGGGGGGTTGTGGTGGCATAAGTCCCACCTGGGCTGCCACCCGCCGCCCAACACCCGAACGTGGCCATATAAGGCCAGGTTGGGCTCAGTGTACTGCTGGGCAGCGGGGAAGGACCAGTGGACGCAGAGGGCGATCCTGAGTGGTCAACACACCCCAGGACCCGCCTAACCCTGGGCAGCCAGCACTGGGCCTGCCTGGCCCTAGAACATGGTGCACACGAGTCTGCCAGCACGTACCACCCATTGGCCACGGATGCCCCTCACTGGGAAGGGCCGCCCCCTTGGATGGCCATGCAAGGTCCTCAGGTATCAGCCCCGAGATCAGCTTTGACATGCAGTGGCCCTTCATGCTTGGGGACCCCTGAGCCCAGATGGGCAGCCCAGAGCCCAGGGCTGAGTCAAGATGAGGCCCAGACAGAGGACAGTCGCGACCAGTGTCTCCCATCCCCCAGCCAGGCCACATGGGGTCCTGGTAAGTTCCCAAGGACCCATCCAGGGCCACTGTAGCCACAAACAGCCCAGTCCCCCCAAACCCACAGGGTGACTAGCCACTCTCCACACAGTTATATGTGTGAAAATGTGTGAAGACCACAGGTGTGTCCTGAGCCCACTGGCCAACAATCCAACTGACCCCGACCCTAAGGGTGAGCTAAGGGCAAGCAGAGAGTCAGCAGGGGGTAAAACTGGGGGTACCTCGGGAATGAGCTGGGGCTCCCCCTCCCCGGGGTGAGCTGAGCGTAACACAGGACTAAGCTGGAAGTACCCCGCGGGTGAGCTAGGGTGCTATAGGAAGGGAGGCTGTGCAGGGAGAATTGGAGGTTAGTTGGGGGTACATCTTGAGTGAGCTAGGGGTTCCAGGGGGAGTGAGCTGCGGTACATTCCAGGTGGGTTGAGAGTACTACATGGGCGAGCAGTGGGTGCAGGAGGTGGGCTGGTGAATCCCGGCTGAGGGCTGGTGAGGCAGGAGCGCGAACCAGGTAGGCACTGTGGCAGGGGTCAGGGCTGGCGGGAAGGGGCGGCGCTAGCACTCACCTCGCGCGGCAGCGGCCGGTGGGAGCGCCCCCAGCA